TTTGGGATTTGATGGTGGTTCGGGGTCGATATTCGATATCGTACCCGCTAATTTCCACGACTGTTATGTCCCGCAGTATTACGTCGATATTACGCCTTGCAATGTCACACTACGATGATGTTACGCTCCGCAATATTATATTACGACGATGTTACACCCTATAGTATTATACGTGAAATTGTCGTAAGATAATTGACCTCAGTTCAAGGACAAGATTATTTGAAGATTATAAGCATTATGCTATTTCAAACACGTGATGAGTAAATTCGTGAAGGAGAAAGGGTAAGCAAATTAAAGAAAATGAGTTTCGTCAAAGTTTGAATATTTGGGATAAAATACGGTCCAAGCTATAATACCCCGTATTTATGGACTAGTGCTATACAAGGTATCGCATGACCATGATTATAAGGTGTATAAAGTATGTTAAAAGTGAGTAGTATTTTAAGTAATTTGAGATAATTCTTAATTATGTGGGTAATTGGTTAATTATTGGGTAATAAAAAATTATCTAGTTAATTAAGGAATTATTAGGTGATTAATTAAAGAATTGGATAAGGATAGACCCTCCCCCACGTGGCAGCAAGCCACCCCAAGAATTGTGACTCTTAAGCCATTATATATGTGGCAAGATTAGAGATGTGAGATTTGGTAAGTCTTAAGAACATGAGTCACATATCCATTTATTAAAAGAGAGCCATTTGTAAGTCTTAAGAACATGAGAATCATACATCCATTCTTAAGTAACGTGAGGATTTTTCATAACATCTTTAACTAATTTTACAAGGATTCCAATGTTAGCAACGTGAATCCAACGAGATTTCTTGAAACAGAAATTCATGTAGCAGTAATGTGAATCTCTTGAAACAAAAATTCCAACGAGATTTCTTAGCACCTTAGCAACGTGAGATTTTGCAATTTTAAGGGAGTACGGTACAATCTTTCTCAAGAATATCATATGAATTTTTCCCTACTTCGATCCACCATTACGTGTTGTCGCAATCAATGGGTGTTAAAGGGATTATCAAGAGAATCGACTCAGGTATGTTAAGGCTAAGCCCTTCCTTCATTTTGGCATGATCTCATAATTACATGTGTTTGATAACGAGGCATAAAGAGAAGTTCATACTCCCGAATTTATATACATTATCCTAGTTTCATAAATTATAGTATTCTCCTTATCGGGACTTCATATTTAATTGAGTATTATCTTCTTCCAGTTAAGAGAGCAGAAAGCCNTGAGAGAGTTGAGTCAGTATCAGCAGGTAAGCATATCTTCAGATTATCTTTGACTCTCAGTTACTTTCAGTTATTATACTATCAGTTCAGTTACAATTTTCAGTATATTGCCTTACATACTCGGTACATTATTTCGTACTGATGTCCCTTTTCTGGGGGTGCTGCATTTCATGCGTGCAGGTTCAGTCAGACAGATGGGTAGACCTCCTCATTAGGTGTTGCCTGAGTTCAACTTGATCGATAAGCTCCATGCCCTTCGGAGTTGTCGGGTCTAGAGCTTTATGTANGTATATATGTTATGAGTAGGTCGGGGCCCTGTTCCGATCACAGTATATCCATCAGTAGAGGCTTGTAGACATATCCTATCAGTTAGTGCAGTATGTTGGACTTATAGGCCTTGTATGTATATTTTGTTGGTTTGTCAGCTGTAGTAGTTATGACGGCCTTGTCGACCCAACTTTATATTGATGTCTAGTCAGCGTTCGCAAGTTGTCTTGCAATGTGGCCCATGGCCAAGGTGTGACATTATATGTTCAGAGTCCCTTAGTCGCAAGTTGGTATACAAGGATAGGTGAGGCACCGGGTATCGGTCTCGTCCCCCAGGTTCGGGGCGTGACAACGGCCCATTTGGCCAATCGCCCCGAGAGATCATTTTTGTGCATTATGTTTCTTAACGGGTAAGTAGTTACGACACATATGGGATGGCATTGAAAATACGGCTTTAACTTCCGGGAGGCGCTTAGCAAAGCGAGCGCCAATTTCTCCAGGTGAGGATACCTAGTTTCGGCCTCGCCTACAGTCCTGCTAACATAATAGATAGGAAATTGCGTACCTTCCTTTTTCCGGACTAGGACTCCACTTATCGCTATCTCGGATATCGCTAAGTACAGGTACAACTGCTCGTCTGCCCTCGGAGTATGAAGCAAAGACGGGCTCGAAAGGTACCACTAGAGTTCTTCCAAATCTTGTTGGCACTCCGGGGTCCACGAGAAGTTATTCTTCTTCTTCTTTAATAACGAGAAGAACCGGTGGCTCTTATCGGAGGACCTTGAAATGAACTGTCCCAAGGCGGCTATGCGCCTGGTTAGCCTTTGAATGACCTTGACATTGCCCACGATGGTGATGTCTTCTATGGCCTTGATCTTGTCGGGATTGATCTCGATTCCCCGATTGGACACCAATAATCCGAGAAACTTTCCAGATCCGACCCCGAATGCGCACTTCTCCGGGTTCAACTTCATATTGTATTTCTTTATTATGTTGAAAGTTTCCTGCAAATATTTCAAATGGTCCTCTGCTCATAGGGACTTAACTAACATGTCGTCAATGTAAACCTCCATTGATTTTCCTATTTGCTCATCGAACATCTGATTTACTAGGCGTTGGTAAGTAGAACCAGCATTGTTTTTAGTCTGAATGGCATTACGTTATGACAATAGGTGTCGTATTTAGTAAACGAAGGAAGTCTTTTCCTGGTCGCCCGGATTCATCACACCCAATTTTTTCTGTTATTTTTCCACATGGGTATCGACGTTAATTTTCCAGAGATAAAGGATAACCCCTAATCACTGGAGCATTGGGCCGTAAGTCTAAATTTCAGGGGTCAAAAAGCAAATAGCCCAACTTGCAGACGAATCTCCTATAAGAAAACCCTACCCCCCTGAGATCTTTTACGCTTTGCTCGTCCAGATCTGAAAAATCAAGCATGGGTAAGCTCAGCCACATAATTCAAAAGCCTGTGTTGGTAAAGGGTTAATGTGGTGAGATTTTGGTTTATGCAGGAAAGGTTCACGGATCATTGGCTCGTGCTGGTAAGGTGAGAGGCCAAACACCCAAAGTCGCCAAGCAGGATAAGAAAAAGAAGCCCCGTGGCCGCGCTCACAAAAGGATGCAGTACAATAGGCGTTTCGTTACTGCTGGTAATTCTATTCTATTATTCTGATATATTTGGAAACTACTTATTGATGATGAAATTAATTTGGTCTATAGTTTCTAGTATCATAGACTTGAACTTTTGCAACGAACAATTTGTGGAAATAACGCTCCTTTGTCTGAAATTTTCAAGGATTTAATAGAACTCAGTTAATTTTTTAAGCTGGGTAAGTAGACTTGGTGACCAAATGTTAAAGTTTCTGGTGTGTGTGAGTTACCTGAGTTGTTGAAAAACCAATCTGCGAAAATGGCCTGAGTCTGTATTACTTGTTTCAGTTAATATCTAGATGTGTTGTCAGCCTTTATAGATCAACATTATTTGCATACCCCATCTTCACGTTTGACGAATACCCTTATGTTACTTACTTTTACACCCAATCAAACATCGAAAACATTATCCCTCTATGGCGCTCTATGCCTATCCTAAGATGAATATGCGACTTGGCTGTTGGCATTTATGTTGGCGTAAAGTTTGTGAGTGTTGTACAACTACTGTGTTTGAGTCGATGTTAGCATAATCCTCTAAAGTAGTTTGATTTAACCTTGGCATGACAGAAGCCAAACTTTATTGAAAATTTTGCATTAGAATGCCTTTGTTGTAAAATTAGAATAGAACATTCTGTTGATACTAATTGGTTGGCATCTTACAGGAAATATGTACATGTGAGTTTACACTGCTACTCTCGCATTTCTCATCCGAATATGTTTATTTTTGCAGTTGTTGGCTTTGGCAAGAAAAGAGGACCAAACTCTTCTGAGAAGTAAATTCAGAAATGGGTAGAATTTGTTTGCTTTTCTGAATTGTTATTTTTATCGTGCTATAGCTCTTTTAATTAATGGGGTAAGCTTGCCATTGACAATCTTGTACGGTTAATTAGATTTTTGAATCCGTACAAGATAGTTTTGCATTGAATTAAAGACTTTATTTTTCAAGTTTCCCGGCTCAAATAATGTTGGCGTTTCCAATCGGCGGAACCCTAAAATTGGGCAGCAAGGTACCTATCTTTAACAACAGAATCACAATAGCAGGCAAAATTATACTTTTACGTTTTAACAATCTAGTGAACAAGAGAGAAACGCATCTTTAGATCTGCAAATTTTTATTTGCCCGACAACTCTACCATTAGTGTAAGGTTCTTGTTCATCTTCTTGTGATGCATTTTGGTAGTCAAGGACTTAAAATGATTTATTGTAATAACAAGAGGAAGAGAGATTGCAAGTATTTTTTGGACTGTAAAGCACTTATACCTAGGGTTTTAAAAAAAGATAACCTGGAAAGAAAATAATTATCTAGGGCATGTTGTGTTTGCAAGCCAAATGCTGAGTACGGAATCAAAGAAACGCTAAAATATTGCAAATGGAAATGGCTCAAATATGTCATCAGGCTTTAATAAGTGGCCTATCTATGCCATTTGTTACAAGATAGAGATATTCATGCCACTATCGTTACGGCTCATATATTGCCATGTGGTATTATTTAAACCCTTCATCATCTACCAGCCCCCTCCCCTCTCAACCCCCTTGGTATTATTTAAACCCTTCATCACCTACTAGCCCCCTCCCCTCTCAACCCCTTCTACTAGTGGCATATATGAGACATTTCATTAGGTTCGATGGCATATTTGAGTCTTTTTCCTATTCCTTATATTACATAACACTCTTAGGTAACAAAATTTGTTTATCATTCGATGCATGATATTCAACCTTTTAGAATCATATTTCTGTATAAAACTTCAAATATTTCTAATTTTATGTAGTAAACTTGTATTTTTATGTAACAAACATATAAGGACAAGCTTGTTCCTTGCATTATAACATTATTATTTTACATGGGAAAATTATACTCTCTTATTCAATTTAATTAGACTATGAATCTAATCCTATTTTATTTCATCGAAAATTTCTCGTACATTATCTCTTTAAAAGATTTTAAAAATACATAAAATTTATTTAAGAAAAAGAAGAGATGAGCTTAAAAGAGAGCATTAATGACATGTATTTGGGTATGGAAAGTATATTTGAGTGTGTGAATTAAGAGTATGTATGTATTTTCATGGTGGAATTTAGAATGTTACAGTGCTTGGGACATTGTGATGGCTTGAGAAAATGACATAAAATTTGTTTTGAAAAAGAACGACGGGTTTAAAAGAAAGTACACTAATAAGGTATAGTTGGGTATGAAAAGTACGTATGAGTGTTTGAATTAAGAGTATGTATGTATTTTCATGGTTAAATTTGGGATGTTACAATAGTTAGGACGTAATTGTGGCTTCAAAAAAGACTCAAATATACTAGTGAACTTAATAAAAAGACTCAAATATGCCACTCGTAAAGGGGGCATGAGAGGGTAGGGGACTGGTAAGTGATGAAGGGTTTAGATGATGCCCCGTGGCAAAATCCGGTAGTAGTTGGATTCCGTTAGTGAAAACTAGGATATATGAGCCAATAGTGTAACATTAGTAGGATGAATATATTCAACTCTTAACGGATGACATAAATAGGCTCTTTCTTAAAATTCGATGGCATATCTGAACCTTTTCCATATTACAAAAGAACCATTGTAATGAAATTTTTTATTTTAAGAACCATTCTAGATATAACGTATAGTGTAAATGGGCTATATAGGTTTGGACCAACGTAGTCGACAGCCGTTAGAACACTAACAGTACATAACGCATACCATATATGTGCATTATGCAAATATAGGTGTAGGTTATGCAAATACGTTAGAACTCTGGATAACTTGTATTTAAATCAAATTGATCCCATAGTGATTGCACCTTATTTTTTATCTCGATGGAACATATACTCTACGATATTGAAGAGCTGCTACAAAATTTTACGTTAGAATAAATTAATCATATACTAGGTTTTTGCTAAAAAATATTCCTCACAAAAATCATTATTGTTGGGTTGCTATACTCTGCCACCCTTTTAGGCTCCATTTCCCCTTATCTTTTTGTGTTTGAAATTAAATTATATATGCTTATAATATGAATAATATTTACATTATTTGTTGTAATTAATCTGCTATAGAATGTTCATTTACATATGTTCAAAGTTATCAACTTATCGTATCTTATGTAATCTTGTTTGATTGTGTAGAAAAATTGGGTCCAGCCATAAGGGATGCTTTAAGGCCCAATAGGGTTATTTTTTAACTCTAATACTCCCTATATAAGTATACTTACTATGTACAATAAAACAACTCTTAGCAGTATTTTTCCATGCTCTCTTCTCCCAAATCAGACGAGGGGTTTAAATTGTGATACACAGGTTGCTCCGTCACAACGTGACAACCATCACCGACCAGCGATTCCAGCCGCGGTTCGTCCGTCTTCTACTTCCGCTTCACGAAGAACAAGTAAATTCTCGTTTTATGATTTACGCGCTAATCTAATTAGTTTATCGCGTTACTCTTCATTGGTATCAGAGCCATATAATAGTTTTCTGGTCTGAAAAATATATTAGAATAGTTCTATTACTCTATGTAAATATAGAACTATGTGTATATTTTTTTTTTGAATGAATAATCTGCCATGCAATTGGGAATGATAAAACAGTTTGCTATATACCGTGGTATCTAGAATTATGTGTTTATTCATATCAAATTTTCTATGCAATTGGAACTAGTTAATCAGTTTAACTTTTGAATGATTTTTTTAATTTAATCTGAAATCGATTTTCAGAATCTGATTAAAAGAAATCAGTGTCCATTAAGTTTTATGAATTTCTGTATGTAATTGAAATTGTATATCAATATTCAATACTGACTTGAAATAATCTGGGATTTTATTGAAGAACCTTTTATTTCTGAAACTGATCAGAAATACCACAAAAAAAAAAGGAATCAATTTTTTTTTAATAATTTTCTCGATCATCAAACCCGCTTCCCACGCCGCCTGAGATCCACCGGCTCAGCTGGTGGAGGTCGTCTAAGAAACGACCAGTAAACTCCCTTATTTTAAGCCATAGAGAGGAAGAGCTTTAGAGAGCCATGGCTTCTTTTTTCTCTCTTCTCTGAAATTTATATATATGTATATAATTTTAAAAAAAATGGGGGCGAAGCTTGGTGCTCCAATGGGGCAGTGGCAAAAAGAAAAGAGGAAAGAGAGAGATTAGGGTTTTTCTCCAACCTCTGAAATTTGAAAGATTGAAAAATGAAAAAGAAAAAAAAGGGAAGAAAATATGGAGGGTTGCTGGCGGATGTCCCCTAAAGAAGAAGAAAAAGAGAGATTAGGTTTCTCTTTTTTAAAATGCAAAGATGCCTCGTATTTAAAAAAAAAATATTTTTTTGTTGGAAATTAGGTTTTAGAAGCTGATGGGCTTCTTTCTCTATAGTGTGGCATATTTTAAGAAAATTGGGCTAAAGGCCCACTCAAAATTGGCTTGTAATGTTTTTTATTGCACTTTTAAGAAATTGGGCTTTACTTTAAAAATTTGCAGCACTCAATTGTCTTGTTGTTCTATTTGGACTTATGGCCTATTTTAAATACTTTAGACAATAATTGTTTTGGGCTCACAACCTAAATTAAAAATTACATAAGCTTCTTTTTTGATTAATTCCAAATTTCAAAAATTAGTCTTATTGACTTAATTTTCGGAATATAAATTTAGTATTTATATTCTTTATGAAAAATATAATTATATTATTATCCCAATTGCTTGAAATGTTAATTAGTTTAACATTAAATTTATTTATTAATTTTTTTAACTGCTTGAAATATTAATTTGTTAAAGAATGAGTACTGCTTCGAAAAATATTGTTGTTGAGCTCAACAAAGGGTTGAAGCTCAATGGTGACAACTATGAAACCTGAAGCTTGAAAGTCTAGTATGTGCTAGAGGAGCAAGAGGCTCTACAGGTCATTAACAATGTCATGAATGAGCCTGAGGAAGGTAACACTGTTCAGCATAGGCGTGAGCGTGAAGCCTATAACAGTTGGAAGAAAACGAACTCCATTGCTCACATTACGTTGTTGAGCAACTTGGATGATGTCATCCTAAGGGAGTATAAGGATCACCAAAGAGCTATGGATCTTTGAAATGCTTTGAGGAAAAGGTTTGGTACTTGTTCCACTGCAAGGCTGCGATCCTTAACGATCAAACTTGATTCATATAAGAAACGACCAGAACATTCAATGAAAACACAACTGAGGCAAATGACAAATATGATCGGGGAGTTGAAAGATGTTGGTCATCTGTTGACTGATGAATAACAAATCCAAGCTGTCATACGTTCTTTACCTAGTTTTTGGAATCATATAAAAATGTATTTGACCCATAATGAGCGAATCACAACTCTAAAAGATGTCCGGAGGCATCTTGAGTTAGAGGAAGAATAACTTGAGGTTGCAAAGCCAATAGCTGAATTGCACATGACAACAACCTCCAAAACTAAGAGTGATTCAAAGAAAGGAATTGGGGAAAGAAGAGAGGGCCACCTCACACTACAAAAAAAATAGTGTTTAGCGACGGCCGTATTCCGTCGCTAAACGACTATTTTCCGTCACTACAGTTGTTTAGCGACGGATTAGCGACGAATTCAAGTTTATCTCTAAAATGCTCGTAGCTAGGCTCATAGCGACGAAAAATACCAAACCGTCACAGAATTAGCAATGGATGAGCGGTGGAATATATCTGTAGCAAAGTTTAGCGATGGAAATAACCGTCGCTATATTACTTGTTTCTGTCGCTATTTTGACGACTTTTGTCTCTATAATAGATAACAAAATTCGTCGTTTCTTCTTAGTAGCGATGAAATCGTCCATCGCTAGTCGTGTTATAGCTAGTTCTCCCTGCTTTTTGCAACAAAAATCTTTTGTCGCCAATTCGTCGCAAGATTTAATTTTACACGATAATTTTAGCTACGGAAAGTATCCGTCGCTAATTTATTTTTAACATATTGCTAATTTTTTAAAATTCTTTTTATTTATTATTTTAAATGTACTCTGTTCAAGCATATTACGTAAAAGCTATTAAATACACTTAATAAAAAGTCACTGATATTAATATAAATTAACAATATATTCAACAAGGTCCAAAATATATAGCATAATGCATATAACGGTATCGTTAAGTACAAAAAATTCACAAGGACCAACAATAAAGTCCAAACAAAATAGGCTAACTATGCGAGGCTGGAGAGTTACGGTCATCATCTCAATGCATGAACCTCTTCAATGTTAGCAACAGTAGAAGATGTAGGAACTGTAGGTGCCACATCTAATGGGTGGTTGGTAAGATCAATATTTGGCTTATGCGAGGGTAAGGAAACTAATTTGCGTACCCGCTCAATAATTACAGGAACTATATGATATGTCAGTGCATGAATCAATCGCATCACTAACTCATCCAGATTCTCTGTCGGTGTTGATTGAGCATTTGGAGGTGTTGCTGTGATGTAGCATCAGATCCAAAAGAGTCATGAAGATTTGGCCCGTAGTAGCATTTTGCTTGAGATCCAAGACCATATACTCTTCTTTTCTTTTCTCCTCCCGCGGATTGATAATATGCTTTATACTGATCACTATCAGATTGAGTATGTGTTTGTTGTTATAATATCTCCTGATATTTTTCCTGTAGAAGAGTTAATAATTAGTGAAATAAAAAGACTAAATAATATTGAGCATTCAATTTACAAAATAAAAAAATATATGAAAGTAAAGTCAATAAAATTATTTAAAAAACTATCTTACATGTACGATTCGGGATTTCTCAGCAACAAAAGATTTTCCATCATTACCACGTGTATGGACGTGCAAATGCAACTCAATTGGTGTTGGATCTCGATCCTTTTTAACAGCCTTTACAAAAGTTATCCAATTAAGAAGATAGACCTTAAGACTGTCAAGAATCAAGTTCTGTTATCAATTTTGTCTTTATATAACTAATATAGTAGTTGTCAAGTTAAACTAAACTTCCATTTCTTTGTTGCTAGTTTTGGCAAGGGGAAGCAGCAAACTTAAGGCAACAACTGAATTACTTGCAAGAAAGCCACAGGTAAATCGATGAGATATGGTAGCGCATTTATAGCCATTGAGTACCTTAGTATTGCAGCCACTGTTGATACATGCTTTTACAGCAAAAAACCTTTTCATATGAATGCAGACCGACTAGAGAACATAGGACTGCAGGGTATAAAGCAGTGAATTTAGAAGCTAAAGAGACTCACTTCTCAGGCAAATATGGCCCAACTATTGCACTTATATCTACACTCAAGCTAGAAACAGAGCAAATCAGCATCCAGAAGTGTTTGCATACACTATCATCGATAATTTTTTCTAGGGGCCCAAATCTAGATTATGGATCACCAAAAGTTTCCACGAAAAAGGACTAGCAATCATATCTACTACATGGTAAAATAATTCAAGAAACATAAGCACTTGTAATATATTATCATTCAACCTGAAAGTTGGTAAGAAATTGCGAAATACCACATTACATGGACCACAACTCAACGAAACTGATTGTTTTGACAGTAAACTGAGCTCATTCATAGCCCGTAAGATAGCCATGCAATGTAGATTTCAAAGAGGAGCATTAGTTTTAGGAGCTTATTCTTTGTCCTTAATTTGACATCCTTCTTGCAGACCATTCTTCCTATATATATTTAGCCTGATTAACAGGCTTCAGTGAGTTGATTTTTCACTACTGGACAGTACTCCAGATCTTGCATACTTGCGATTAACAATCAGAACAATGCTTGAGGGGAGCAATAGATTACTCATTTAAAACTTACTGGTTCTTTGATGGAAAATGTGGGCTTCTACTGGTTCTTTGATGGAAAATAGAGCAGGCAGCAGGAATGGAGCAGGCGGACTTTTAAACCTACTAAAGAAATTTCCAAGATTAAACCTACTGGTCATAGAGTTTTAAACCTACTGGTCATAGAGTTTCAAATTTCACAAGTGAAAGTTGAGGATATTGTCATGGAACTATCTATACCTATGGAATTTAAAACTCTATTTTTCAATTAGAAGACTGAAAAGTGGTTATTTATGAATTTTATCCCATTTGCCACCATTTAAATGTCCATTCCTCCTGTCAGTTTTTAAGCATTTTCTTATTCTCCACATGGAACTTTTGACAAGTTAGATCTGAGAATTTTCTTTTAATCTTTTAATGGAATCAGTTAAACTTACTACTTTTAACATGACACCAACAGCTATTAGAAATAACTATTAGAAACCAGTGGCAACAAGTTCAAAGTAGGACAATTTCAGCTATCAATTTACTCCATAACTATCCCAAAAATAGTTGCAAACTTCAATAATTAAACCAATCAGTTTTCCCAGAACATGATTTGATTTCAATACTTCAAAACTGGTTTTCAATCAGTCTCTAGTGATTCAAACTCAAATCAGCTAACTCCAATCAATTTCACAACAGCTATCAACAAGGAATAAACTTGGACACTTAAAACAGTGTAAGAACTGAAGGATAGGATTGACATTTTTTCTGAAAATGAGCTTCAAATCGATCTCTGAAGCAGCAACTCATACAACCTTAAACAATAACAGTATGACTCGACATTATTTCTAATTCTCGAACCTCAATCAGTAGTAACAAAGATGAGACTCAGTTCAATTCAAACTCAATCAAACAGTCTCAATTTATAAGAAAAATACAAGTCCTACTAATGCACAAAAGTTCAATAAACATAACTCAAAGGCAGAATATTAAAAATAGAACAAGAGACAATCCGCATCTCACAACTTCAGGTAACCTACTTAAATGAGATTCAGATTCGAATTAGAGCAAACATAAATGAGATTTTCAGATATTTTATATACACTTACAAGTCTCTTGCGATGCTCCCCAACACTGATAGAGCCACCTGTGTGAGTCCCAGTGGCAACTCCGCTCCCAGCACAATGATTTTTTGTATTTATTTCTGACTTTTCAACATACTTAGGATCTTTCCAAAGTCTCAACCAACTTTGCCACACATTATTTGGAATAGAGTCCGGTTGCACCCCATTTGATTTTAGTTTTCTAACAAAATCACTGTATCTTTTTGCTGCCCTACGCTCCCATTGGATCCGCACTGCACTATCAATTGAAGAATCCTAGTAGAATACCTTTTGAAATAATTTTATAAAGTAATAACATTAACAAGTTACATATAAAAGTTAATATACTTTCTAAATCCAATTGTGATGGATTATACCTTGAATTCTCCAAAATAATTTTTTTTTTATCTCATCTGAGACGCTTTTCCAGTTGAATCCATTAGGATCAAGTTCATGCTTGAAAGACTTAGTTATACACTCAGAGCATTCATATGAAGGCTCTAACCTGAACAAATTAGAAGATATTATTTAAAGGCATACCATATATCAATAAAAATATACCAAAAGTAATAGTACAAGTATGTACTAACCCAGCAGGAGAAATAGTAAGAAGCGTCTGTGGCCCGGGGGTACTGCTACACTCAGTTTCGCCTATTATGTTGCTTTGAGAAAATGTACCCTCGCCTATTATGTTGCTCTGATTAGGGGTATTTGGAGATGGTTCTGAATTAATAGTTGGGGTACTACCATGGCTTGATGTTTGAATAGGTGACGTACTACTGGGACCTAATGTTTGAACTTGATTGATGTGAACTGGTCCACCTGAGGAACTCGTACCACCTTGTTGATGACTAATTATGGGAATGGGAACAATAGGCATATTTTCATGAGTAGAAAAATTACCCCTAACTGAAGATTTACCTACACGGCCTGCGCTACCTCGACCTCTACCTCGAGGCATATCTACAAAATAAATAAATAAAAGAAGGATATGAAACAATGCATATCTAAATAACATATGGCATATGAAGCTTCAAAATAAAATATTCTGCTAAAGACAATATCAGAAAGACACTATTAAATTGACACAAAGAGACATAACACAATACAAAAAATACCTGCACTATCCAATGCTTGAACTACTCACTAAATTGTTGAATTTGATAACTTCTTTAGGCCAAAATACAACGATATTGGCTCTAATTAATTCTGAATTTAGACAGATTAATCAGGTAACACTATTAAGTTGTTAATAAACATTATTCTACTGCTATAAAAAAAGAGTGTAATGTAAAAAGAGGCACAACACAACATAAGCTAGAAGAGTACTATACCATTTAGATTACTACAAACGTGGATTCGGTTTGATTCTCTATAGATTATACTATAAAATAGATACATGACTTATAACATACCACATAGATTACTAGAAAAACAAAACTCAACAAAAATATAGTAGTGCATTTTTATCAACACACTAGTCATCATCTGTTTCTTCTTCAAACTCTTCCTCATCATCCTCCTCATTTTCATCCTCAGTTTCATACTCGTCTTTTGAAGATTCTTCTTCAAACTCTTGACACTCTATCAATAATCCATCATCAATGGGTTCAACCATTTCAATTACATCGCCATTTGGATCATGTAAGATTATATTCTCATCCGTGGTGAAATTAATATCTATCAAATGGACTTTAACTTCTTCAACTTGGAATGGAAGATTCGGTTCTGGAGTTGATGTTATTGCCTCATCAGAAAGTTCAATAATATCCAGAGGTTTAACTTTCAAAATAGCTACCCAATCAGCATTGTTCTTTTTTGTGCTAGGATAAGGCACATAACACACTTGAGTTGCTTGCATCGCAAGAATAAAAGGTTCGTACTTTCTAAAACGACGACGATGGTTCACATCGACTAATTTGTATTGATTATGCTCCTTGACACCAACATTCACAGTTGGATCAAACCATTCACACTTGAATAACACAGTTTGCTTTAAAGGTTATTCACGGTATTTCACTTGTATAATCTCTTGTATCCGTCCATAATAGTCACCAACATTTGGATTCGAGATACAAAATCCACTATTAATTGTTGATCTTGCACTACCACTACATTCCGTGTGAAATTTATTTCCATTAACAAAATACACCGGATAACATTTTGCGCTTATTAATGGTCCATGAGCAAGACTACGCAAGAATTGGTTCTCAATGTGGTTGCATCGAATCTATTTCAAAATAATTATAAGACTTAGTTAAATATAGCAAGCCAATTCAAGTACATAATTGCTTAAACGATAATGATTTTTATAGTCTTACATATTCCTTGAACCATATAGTAAAACACGTTTCGAGACTCTCATTTATTTGATCCTGAGATAGATTGGGGAATTCTTCTTGTAACCGTTGTATGTACATACTTCATTGAAACAAAATAAGTTAAATATAGACTCAAAATATATGGATATATTTATTATTATTAAAAATTGATACCTTACAAACGGCTCAACCTCTACACAATTTAGTAGAATATAAGTTTGGGCTGCCTTGATTTATTCGAGGGACAAACTTCTCTTTTTTCCTTCTCCCCATAGTCGGCCTGGATGGGTGAATATTGATAAATTTCCTTCAAGATCTTCCATCACACCACCATCATCATTACGGGCCACATTATGATTACGTGTCATGACATGAGGTTTAAAATAATGAAAAAATAATTGTATTGATTCCATCATCAAGTATGCTTCACAAATTGAACCCTCGACATAGCTTTATTTTTTTAATCATTTTTTAAGAGTTCGAAGGTACCTATACAAGTAAATGGATAGACCATTAAATTCATAAAGTCATGTGTAACATAATTGTCATAATAAGAGCATAAAAAGTTTATAACCTCTCAAAAGGATACATCCATCTATATTGTATAGGTCCAGCAATCCTTGATTCATATGGCAGGTGTACATGCACATGTTCCATTGAGTTAAAGAATCCAGGAGGAAATATACGCTCTAACTTACACAAGATCTGTGGGATGTCTGCCTCTAATCTCTCCATGTCCACCACTCGAAGAACAGTCGAGGTGAGATCCTTAAAAAATAAGCTCAATTCCGTAAGTGCTTGCCACACGTTACTAGGAAGTAGCTCACAAAAGTTGCATGAACACATGTCAATCATAACTTTTCATACCAAATAATTTATACTTGTCTGTGTCTAGGCATCGACTCAAATTCGAAACATACCCATCTGGAAACTTCACATTTTCCAACCAATTGAACAAGACAATTTTTTGATTCTTCTCTATTGTATATGTAGCTTTGGGATAGCTTCCATCAATAGGATTCTTTGCCAATTGCGGTCGATCGCAATAGTTTACCATATCTTCACGTGCCTTTGGATTGTCTTTTGTTTTGCCATCAACATTAAGAACTATGTTAAATACATTATCAAAGACATTCTTTTCAATATGCATGACATCGAGATTATGTCGGATCATGTTAAAGCTCCAATAAGGCAAATCCCAAAAGATGCTT